GACATGTCCGTGTCCTTGCTGTGGCTTCTTCAGAAGCAAATCACCTGGGTTACCAGTACTCGTCCAGAGCCACTCTATAGATACACTGTAAAATTAGCCTTGAAGCAAGGTGGCAGCAGACTTCCATTTTTGTTTTATTCATGAAGGGTCTCAAACACAGCTGAGAGAATCTTTTTTCCTAAAGCATCGAGTCTCTTTTCTTCTTGACTAAGATCTAGGAAAGCTCCTTTTCAGTACCAGTAATTGAATCTATATCTTTACAAAAGTGAAGAAAAATATGATTTGGCCTTGCCATATCTCTAAGGATTGGAGGAAGCACTGTGAGGTCAAGAAGAAAGGAGAACAGGATCCAATAGTACTATCTGGACTTCCTTCAACAGTAACCTTCCAAGCGAACCTGCTTCTCTGCTCATCTAACAGACACCTCACTGCTCCTTCCTCAGGAAAAGCACTCACATCTCTCTGTCAGTTCCCACACACTGAATATTTCCTTCTTGAGGTGACAGTGTTGGAAAAGGAGCATTTCTCTCCTACAGTTATCAACAGTTTTCACCCAGAAGTTTGTTATTGGTTTTTTCCCCCCAGGACTGGTATTTCTGGATGCCATACTGCAGCCTTTGCCTCATTATCCTGTTTGCAGTTGTTTTTGCAGTTGGGCCAGGTAAGTACTCAGTCAAAGGAAATAAAGAGATTGAATCATGTCAGCTTATTAATATGGCTAGGAAAATACTGCATTATATTGCATAAGTAAATTCATTTAACAAAATCTTGTAGTAATTTAAATATAATGGGGCCAATCACTGGCCATAAACTTCAGTGCCATCAGGTTTGGGTTTTGTTAACAAGGGGAAAGGAATACACTGGAAAAATACAGCAAAAATAGAGCAAAAACAGATGGGTAAAAGATTTTTTAAAAATACTAGGAAAAAAAAAGAAAGAGAAAAAGAAAAGCAAGAGTTTTATTTAATTCAGTGTTGTATAATGTTACATCTTATCCCACATGGACAGCAGTGCAGAAGACCTACTTTGGACTAATTCCTTTCCTAGCAAATATTGTCTGCTACTTCTTAAATTTTATTTTTTAAAGGCTATTAATTTTTAAAATATTTGCCTCCCCATATGTCAGGCTTGAATTATTTTCCTAAATCAAAACTGTTGAAAGCCTGTGACTTCCAAACATAACTGAAATACCAAGGAAGTGAATCTGGGAAGATCACTCATTGGTGATCCAGCAGAATCATGCTGGCAATCCTTGTGAGCAATAATAATTGTCATGCCATTCTGACACAACTTCTTTCATGAGAAAATTTCAGGCTTTCTCAAGTGTAAACCACTTAATTCTTGGATCTCCCCAAAAATCTATTTGAATATTTTACCACTTTAATAAACTGATGTCTGTCTCATGGTTTATAAGATGCCACCAACATTTTTATTTGTAAAGAAGAGCTACATACTCAAGTGTTCTGAATGCCAGTCCATGACAGCAGCATCTATGTGCTGACTGTGTAACAGTACCACTCTATCCAAATGTTGAAACCAAACATATCAACAAGCAATAATTCTGATTCTTCTCTCCCTTCAGGTGGTGCCACCGTTTCCACCAGGGTTGAAATCTTCACGCTGTCCTGCAGACCACCTGCCCTTGTGATCGGCGCGGTTCTCAACTGGCTGGGAGTGTTTGTGATCGGGACAACCTTCCCGTTCATTGTGGTGAGTGGCTTTGCCAGGGAGGCTCCCAAGGACACCAAACTTCAGTCAGCCATGGGGGTGGGAAGACGAGCAGCAGGACATGACAATGCCGTGTCAGCCTGGAGCGGTCTTGGCACCTGCCCTCCCAAGTCACTTTGGCAACTGAAGGGCCCTGATTTGACCAAAATACTTATTCAGACTGAAATATTTTTCAAAGGTCAAAATGAAAATAATTTCTTGTCAAATTCAAAGTACTTTGGGACCCAAATACAAAAATTGTGCCAAGAAGGTGACTAAAGAAAAGAGATGCTCATCTTGCTCACTTTCTCCCTTTGCTCTTTCCCTGCAGGAAAGACTCAAGCACTTCTGCTTCCTCATTTTTATGGGGGTACTTTTCACTTCAGGGATGATTGTCCACCTGTACCTTCCAGAAACAAAAGGGAAATCAATCATAGAAATCACAGAAGAATTCAATAAGCTAAACTTTAAAAATAAGCATGTTCCAACAGCTCCAAATCATGTCACAGAGGATTACACCTTCTGCACCAGGCTTTGACCAGACATAGTGGGGAATCAGGCTTTCTTAAAAAGAAGGGGAAAAAAGACATTTGTCATTTTCTGACTACCAAGTCGATCCAAATGGACTGTCAGCTTTCCTATCGGTCATTTACAAGGTTCCCATTTTGCCAAACCAGCTCCTTTCTCAAGCACTCCACTCTGGGCAGCTCTGAAAAGGGATGAGGGCTGATATTACATCATAGACTCATGTGAATCATGAGCATTTTGGCTTAACTTGCTGATGTGCAAATCTTAACAGAGCAACTAATACACACTGAAACGACATGTAGAATTTATAAACACTCTGCTGACCACAGAGAAAGGAAAGACCTGTAATTCCCTCTCTCTCTATGATTTCTGAGTATGTTTTTACAGCCCTGAAATGGGAACAGTGAAGTTCTTGGCTTGCTGTCTCTGGCTAGGGTTCAATCCATAACAGATTAAAGAAAAAATTTAGTGGAATAGGAGATAAATTCTTTGTTTCTCTAGACTGAACTGAATAACCAAACCTTGCCAGGTTCCCATGCACAGTGCCATATTGTCCTTGTGTGGTAGCTGGTTTGACAGGCTTTGACCATTCAGCACCAATAGAATTAAAGGACTGAAGGGTGGAATCCAGGCACCATAAACCCAAGCACCTATGGTCATTTTAGATACTCTGTGCTGTCCTGTCCATCACTTTTGCCATCTCCAGTCTGCAGCTCCTCTTCCAGGAGCAGAGTTCCCACAGATCCCTCATGGGCTGTCAATCCCACAGCAACTGAGCTGCTGCTTTCCTTGTGTGACTTTTGGCTACGTGGACCAAATTTAGCCCAGAAGAACCACCTCAGCATGGAACTGATTTCACCAGAAAACCTTTTTTGAAATACGCAGATTCATGAGATTTTTATTTTCTTTTGAAAGCGTCTAATATTCTTCACATTTCTATTAATGAAGGCTCACATGGTCCTAGTAGCAAAGCAATACTATCAGGAGGAACATGAACAAAGCTAAGGCTTACAGTGGAGCACACTATATAATTTGAAGTTCAAACTCTAGACTTGCACAGTAAAATAAATGGGTTTACCTCTGCTCCTGCTTTGACTGTCATATTTACTTCAACTCAAATAGAGTTATTCAAAATGAGAATTCAATTTTTCATCTTAACTGCTGCTTATTTTTAATTGCAAATATTAAACATAATAAAAATGGCAGATTGCCTTGTAATAAAACTTCTGGCCTCCACTAATATTTTTTTCTTCACACCATGATCTCCTTCAGAAACAGCTGACTAGAAAAAGATATTGGCATGCATACTCTTCCATGATTGGGGATTTTCATTATTCCTGTCTTTATTATTGAGGGACACTTAAGACTACTGACTAAAATATAACTACATAACTATAACTATATATCACAAAACATGAAGTGTTCTTAGAGTCAGAAAACTCAGTAATTTTGTAGTGTTCCATATACACATAATATGATTAAAAACTACCAGTCTTTTGGAGACAGCTACCAATATAGAAAGGGAAGCTCAACTTTTTGCAAAACAGATTCTCTTTTCCCAATCAGTCACTCCAGAAACATCCTTCATTCCACTCCAACACTCCTTGAAGTCTTTGGAAACCAGAGCAGAGTGGCTCACTAGTGAGCCCCTTCTCTGGTCCCAGTTATTCATTAGGTGTTATTGGGAAAGCCCTCCCTGTAAGATCCTCAGCAGGAAGCGAGTGGGTGCCCTCTGGAACATTCATGTGACAACGAAGCGGAACAGCTCTTTGGAGCACAGGTCAACCTTTGCCTGTGCTCAGTGGAGCAAGGGCTGTATTGTGGGGACAGCCTGGTCAAGGGATGAAACAGCAAAAATGTCTGGTTCAAATATACATGAGAGGTGACGGGGACAAAGAGGATAGTCATCCAGAAGCTTCAGGAACATGTACTACATTTTCTCCCAGACATACCAGCTGATGGGTAAGATATGTCTCAAATACTAACTGAGGCACATATAAACACTTAAAAACTGGATCAGTGAACTGCTGTCAGCTGGGCACAAAAAACATGGATCTGGTCTTGCTGGCCTGTATGAAGGAAGGCTTAGCACAGCTTTACATATGTGTGTCTGTAAAATTGCAAGATCAATGACTAAATGACCTGATGTTATGAGATTTACTGTCCTGAGCACAAATATCACTAAAGGATACCTGTAAGATATCTGCTGATTACTTTGTTAGCACTAATAAAGAAACTGCACATCTACTAAGGGGGCCTCAGCACAGTGTAAGCAATATCAGCACAGAAGCAGTACAGTCACTAATCACCATAAATGCAAAAGACATCACACATTATGGGAGTCATGAGAGGAAGACTCTTAACCTACTCAAAGTAGGAATCCTAAATTAATGTCCAAGAGCAAAGAGTGTAAGTTACAATATGTGTAAATACATGTAGAAGAGGGTGAGATACAACATAAGAAAATATGTGCAATAGGCTGCATTTGAGAAGGAATCTCCCATACCAAAAGCTACATGTTATTGCCTGCTTGTGGCTTCCCCCAGTATCATCTGAGCAAGACAGATACCAGTAGCTAACATGGCATTTCTTCCCTCTGTCAGATGCACACCATGTTATTTCAACTTTGTATAACTTTACAGAAAAGGAAATTAATTCTTAGCATCAAAGGGACAGTCTTGTTTGTGCTCTAACAACAGATTATCTGCTGGAGAACCCAAACTGGAAACAAATCCCCCCATGAACTCTCAGCACACATCAAGAGCAAAGTCAAGACCACGATGAGGCTGCACAGTGGTGGGAGAAAAGGTCGGGTGCTGCCACACGCTACATTTCAGACATTAGCTGGAGAATCTGCTAATATGCTTTGCATGTGATGTATTTTCCAGTAAATATGACTGCTTGCATCCAATAAGCCCTTTATGATTTCTTCCTCCTCTTCTTTTAACTGAAGGGTAAATGGCAAGTGATAACTAAGCCATTTACCAACTTAATACATACAAACTCCTCCTAATTGTGAAATAAATTAAGTTAAAGCCTTAGAATTTTTTCTCAGGAAAACAGAGACATCAATCCAGCTGTGGAGGTTACAAAAGAGTTCCAAAACAACCTTTTTTTCATCACAGGCACAGAAATAAGTACACTGACTAATGGAAATGCCAGACAAAAATGTGCATAATGAATTTTTTTCTCTACTAGCAAAGGAAAACCAGCTACTATTAAATACTGAGCTCACCAAGCCTGGTGTGCCACTGTAGAATCACTAAGTTTGCACCACATTTCAAAATCGTGGAGCGGTTCAGTTCCTTTCAGTAATGATTAAGTTACGATGTGCTCCAGTTACTGTCACATGAAGACAGGATAGATCTTTCCTGTTATATGTCAAAGTCCTATAGTTCATTGTCCCAGCCCCACCTAAGATTCCCAACAGATAATTTTGTCTCTACATTTCTCAGTTTGTACTGAAAACTGAGCAAAGTTATGATTTGATAATCCTGTTTAAAATTGTTGTCTCAGCTCTCTATCTCCCCAGCACAAGAGAGTGCTCATGAAGTGAACAGGTTCCCTGCAAGGGAGACCAACTTGGTTATTTGGACAAAACCATTGGTTGAAATATTTAATCCAACAATCCTAAACTTTGTACAACCGCTGAAATAGGTGTAATTAACTCAAAAGCCTCCAAAGTAAAATTTAACTTCAATGACATGGGACTAGTTTCCTGATACTGCTGTTGTATAATGTGAGCACTTGGCTCCTTTGGCAGGTACCTGCCAGGGAGCAACAGGCTCTCTCATCGAGATGGCAGCCTTCTTCTCCAACCTGGTGAGTATCTGGTCACTTCTTCTCAGGGCTGTGGCTTAGAAAAGACAAAGCTAACAAAATACTAAAGATTCAGATTCTTTAAGGATTTTAAGTCCCTTTGGTACAGAGACTGTCTTTCCTTTCTGTGTTTAAACATCACCAAGAACAACGGGGCCATGAAGATCGTGCTGTGTGGTCTTTTCTATGCAACAAGATGAAACAAAATGAAATGAAATGAAATAAAATAAAAACAAAAACTAACAACAGCTCTGGCAGTTCCACCATTGACAACGCTACTTTATTTTTGTCTTCTGAATTACTGAAACAATACTAATTGTTAACCACTCTGATTACTTCCCAAAATAATGAATATTTTAACCTTGTTGCAAAAGGCTAAGAAACTACGACATAAGGTTTAAAATAAATTACTTTCTTAATTTCATCAAGAGACAATCAATATAATCGAGAGTTTCCATAGTCTTACACAGGGAAGAAGTGATATGTATTTGTTGCTCTGTTTCTCTTAAAAAAAAAAAAAGGAAGAGTGAGTTCTTAATTTGTTTGACTGGTCTTGCCAGTTAGAAAATCCATTGAATTTGAGAGAGGATTTTTAAGGAAATTTAGAGTCTTCTTTCTGGTCCACAGCTTCCTGGTTCTTGTCATGTGATAATTTGGGAAATCCAGATGTGGCCCAATTAAATAACAAGCTGTTGAAAGATGGACTTAAGATCTAAGTAGTTACTGTTATGTTTTCTCCTTATTTACAGTTAAAATTATATCATTCATCAAAAACTGTATTTCAGTCCCTAATCCTTGAGCAAGGAAGTTCTAGACAGACAGTATCTCATCAACTTGGAAGATGCTAAGCCCTTCAATATGCAAGCACACCATTTCATGGTTAAATAAATAGAAAAAATAAAATATTGAGAAAGGAGAAATGAAATCCCAAATCAAATTCAGGAAGATTTTTATTTGAATGCAATTACAGGGGCTATTCCTGTAATTATAACTATATTTATGTTATATTTATATTGTATAATTATAGTCCATGCCTTCCTGAAAAAGGTGAATGTCAAAAGAGTATTTTCTTAATTATGCTTAAAGATACGATGCAGTCAGAAACGAAAGCAGAGAGTATAATAAAATGTTGTTGATTTTTAATGCTGTACTTCTGAGACACAGCATTGTGGTTTGGTGCACATCAGTTATTGTCGACTGCAGACAAGGAAACTGAATCCCTCTTCCCTGCATCCAGGACTGACACCTTTATCCTGCCAACCTGTCAGATATTGCAGGCATAGAGTGAGAGCTGCACTCTTGGGAACATCTTTTAAAACTTAAAAATTTTAAAATGGATTATCACCCTTACAGTGGCATGTAGTTTGCTGTGGCACTGTGGATGATGAGAGTGTTTCAGGAGTAGATTAGAGGGATTTTGAAAAATGTTTATATTCAAGAGAATTTGAAGTCGATAAAGAGGAAGGACCAGTGTGGCCCTGCACAGATCTAGACTAGTGAGAAGCTGATGGAGCATTTTATGTTTGCTTTGCAGGTTCAGTTCCGGGGACTATATCAAATGATCTTAGTGCTGGGAATTGGTGGTAGTTTCCCATATGGATTCCACATTTCTGTCATCAACTATCCTTCTGTGGTAAGGAGCCATCTCCCTGAGGCTGATAACACAAATGGAAAGCCTGAGCTCTCCATTCTCCCATAAATCTCAAATTTACTGACCATTCACAGTCTGTGCCTTTTCTTTGGCTAACAGTAACATCGCATGTGTAGAGAACTTTTCCTCCTTTAAAGAACAGGACAGCATTTTCTGTTTTAAATAAGTTCTTACCACATAGTATACAAGCTTCCTGAGTGATATTAACTTGTAGATTTTGCAGCGTGATCTCAGTGAACTTGTTTTACTAATAAATACTCAAAATAAATCTAATATTAGAACCACAGGCTCAATCTGAAATACAACATCCAAATAATATGAAGGGATCTTATACCCCTTATCCAGTCAAATCTTATGCTATTTTTCAGCACATCAGGAAGTTTATTAATGAAACGTGGATAGAGCGACACGGCTCCCCCCTCCATCCCGAGACAATCATGCTGCTGTGGTCCTTCATCGTGTCTATTTATGGGATAGGAGGGCTCCTGGGGTCCCTCTTCTGTACCTACGTGACTACAAAATACAGGAAGTAAGTGCTTCTTATAACAGCTCCACAGTCAGAAAGTGCAGGGAAATACTAAGGTGAACAAATGAAGTTCTTTTTAGTTGAAGCAGTCTGGTCAGACACAACTGGTTGAGTTTCCCAGCACATCCACCTCTTCCAAGTAGCAAAGCGCTTTCTGCCTTGTTTATCTGCCCTCCCCAGGGAATTGTACTCTGTAAAGGTTGCAGTCATCATCACATCATCAGATCAGTGCCTCTGGGAGTAGTGCCATAGGGTCACATTCTCTTCAATGTCCCCTATGGCTCTCATAAAGGTCTCCCAAGCTTTACAAACCTCAGTGAAAGAGCTGTGTGTCTTGTGTTGTAACACATTCTATGCAGTTACTCAAATGCCTGGAAGATATCCTTAAGTGACAAAGAAGAACTAGATTTCCATTTAAATACACTCATTTTGGGGTACAGACATTATATTAAATATTCAGATCCAGCCTAATGAAAATATGAACAAAAGAGAAAAATAAATTGCCTGTAACTACACTGTAAAGATACAACCAGCACCAAAACAAATGTCCGAGACATCTCTGTTCTTGGGAATCCATTTTACTGAAAGTCAGTTCCCAAGCTGTATTTCCCATTGGATAGAGGAAGGATCCCTCACCAGTGTGGTCCATTCTCAGTGCCTTGTGTGTAACACCACTGATTTCATTTGCAGAGCAATTGGCAAACATATCTACTTGGTGTGACCACTTAAAGATCTGCTCCACAACGCACTGATCCAGAGGCCCCTCATATGGGTCTCACCAAACCATCTTAGCCTGCCTGCAATTGTGTTCTTTCCTATCAGGTAAGTGCCCCCAAGAGATTTCTTGTGGGACACTGCCTCATCCCACACACAGAGGGTCTCCCAAGCCTAGAAACAAGATCATGCACTTCTCCCGTGGGTCAGTTAACACATGATAACCTAATTGCTGAATCCCGGACTAAACACAAGGGTCTCTGTGAATCCTTAATGTGTGCAAGGGGACTCTTGTCTAACAAGCATCACGGCAAAACATCTGAGTGCAAAAGACTTTGAAACTTTGATTTGAGCCTGAAACATCAGGGCTGTGAACACAGCAGGCCACAATTCACACAGAGGGACTTTTGAAATAATATACGCCTCTAAAATCTCTTTCTGTTATCTCAGATCACACCCATTTAGCCGAGAGTATCTTTAATATGAGCTATTCTAGAATGGGACCTGCAGACTCAGACTGTTTCTAGGAGACAACCTGACTTTTTAAGAGGAGTTATAGCCATTTAAAAATTTTGGTGATAAAATAGGCCAGTTCTTCGATCTCTTCCCCATTTGTACTGTGGAAATGCTGACAAAGGGTTACAACTCTTTATATTCTAAGCTCAAAAATATCAATTAATTCAAATCTATAGGATCCTAAAATTTCAAAGGATCATTTTGACTATCCAAAGTCATAACTATTTCAGCCATTCCTCAAAACAGTAGGAATGTCTGTACCATGCTTCCTGTCAAAGCAAGAGTAGTTCAAAAGAGTACAAAAGGTTCACATTTCATGCTAAATTCTCAAGGCCTTTTGAGATTTTTTGTTTGGGTTTGTTGTTTTTTTTTTTCAGAAAAAAGTGCCAAATATTCACCAACCTGATCATGCTGGCAGCTGCACTTTTCATGGCCTTCAGTAAAACAGCCAAATCCTTTGAGATGATTCTGGTTGGCCGCCTTCTCTACGGCATTGGTTCAGGTATGTGCTCATGCCAGTGGGGACTGCAAGAGTCCCTGCTGTTCTGGGATTGTCTCTACAGCCATTCTTGGAGAATGATTTTTAAAACAAATATACTAGGCACTTAATAAAAGTGAAAGACATCACCCCTTTTGCAAGAGATTGTAATCTAAATATCAGAGTGAATGGAAACTGTAAGAGAGGACAGAGTCAGAAAGTTAAGCTTTTCTAAATATTTTAACAGTCATTTATCCTCCTCTGTGTTCAAGGTTTTTGTATGAATATACATCCTCAGTATGTAGGAGAGATTTCACCCAAGAAGCTGCGTGGATTTGCCAACTCCACCGTTGCTGTTTTCCTGACCCTGGGAAAACTCACAGGACAGGTTATTGGACTACGGTAAATTCTCCAATCTTTCGATCAGATTACACTAAAAGTACAAATCTTTCTATAACCTTACCCTTCCACCTAGTCAGTGACTGAGAAACACTCCCATCCTCCCTAGGAGGACCTTCACATCCACATCCACCTTAGTTTGAGGTAGACATTTAATTCTGAATAAAGAAAGCAGAAAATTAATTATTCATAGTATGATTTCTTCTTATTTCCACACCTTTTCTACTGAGGGACTTCCCTTTCAAAATTTACTGTACTTACATAAAAAGTCTTAGTTTTGGTCCTGTGGCTAAACAGTGGTCAAATGAGTCTCATCAGCTCTCTAGACATTATACTGGGTCCCAATGATATTTAGAAAGTTTTTCAAAATATCAAATAATTCCTTTAAAATAAAATTGTCAGGAATAAAAATAGCAAAATTTGTGAAATTTGCCAAATTACGAATTCAGGGTCTTGCTCCACTGCACTCTTGAATGGGATCTGAGCAACCTTCATCACTCAGAAAAACTTCCTGAACATTCATTCCATTATTTCAGCATTTTTGTTTCACATACACTTTCCAGGGAGATTTTAGGAAGCGAAGCTTTGTGGCCATGGTTGTTAGCATCTAGTGGACTTTCAGCATTGGTTCAACTGGTTACCCTCCCATTTTTCCCCGATTCACCATCCTACCTCCTGATACAGAAGGGTAATGAGGAAGCCTGCAGGAAAGGTAGAGTGTCTGCTTTCCTCACTTACTTCACTTCCTTTGCTGTGTTAGGGTGACAGCCCGTGCAGAAGACAAGCAGGGCAGAGCTGCACAGCACAGGGCAGAGCTGTACAGCACAGTGCAGCGCCACGGAGCAGAGGCAGTTTCAAACACAACAGATGAGGTCCCTATGACAATATGTCTATGTTAATCTGGGCCTCACTCAGTCTCATTAAGACAAGAAACATAGTTATGTATCAGCACGTCTAACATTTCCCACTTTGGTGGGCACTGCTTTGCTTCTTTAAAGGAAATGGTTTAGGCAGCTCTTTTTTCACATTCAATAAACTGTACTTAAATGTTGACTTTGTTTACAATTAGGTCAACTCCACATTAGAAAGCTACACTATACTGACAACCAGTGAGTCAAAATCCTTCCGAGTGCCCACTGCCCCAGCCCCAAGCACACAGCAGAAGCAGCACCACCATCTCACCAATGGACAGGCAGACTAAAGGGTTTAATGTAACCACTGCTGATGGAGCTGCAGAGGTAGAACAACCCACCTCCCTCTTTCTCTCCAACAGCCATCAGGAAGCTCTGGGGGGAAGGAGACCACCAAGCAGAAATCGATGACATTATGAAGGAGAAGGGTGCGATGGGGAGCACGAAAACCTTGCGTGTCCTCGAAGTGATCAAAGAGAGATCTTTGCGCTGGCAGCTTTACTTTATGATGACTGTTATGACCACCCTGCAGCTCTGTGGAATCAATGCAGTTGAGTGCCCTCTTTATCCCCAGCACAAGGGACAGCACTAGGCAGCATAACAAACCCCTCTAAGTCAATGTTATTAAACCAGCAACGCTTTTTTCACAGGTGCATTTCCTCTCTGCATTTTTCAGATATACTTCTACTCTTTCGAAGTGTTCCACACAGCCAAGTTTGAAGAATACCTTATCCCATATGTGTCCCTGGGAATTGGGTTGTGTGAATGCTTATCTTCTATACTGTGTGTAAGTCTTTTCAGACTTGAGTTTGAAGGAAAAATTTAATGTGGTCAACAATTGTACTTTTCCTTTCCTATGATTGGGCTTGGGGGAGGTTTGCATAACCTAAGACACATCTTCCTGCTTCTGCAAAACCACATGCAGGATAAAAGGCAGTTCTTGTCCCAGATTACTTGCATGAGTGTATGTCTTCAGACTAAATTTGATTCTGTGAAATAATTTTCTGATGTTCTGGATTAGATGTGGGTATGTATGTGTGCACAATTCAACATATGCCAGCAGGTAAGAAAGGGAACTGTCTAAAACCAGCCTAAGGTTGACTAAGAAACACAACTTTGTTATTCATAAATTATTTTGAAGAAGTTAATCTAATTCACTAAGAATTAAGAGACTCTTAAATGACATTGATTTATGGATACTATTCATATAAGTCTTCTGCAAAGAATACATGGAGAGGGGAGGAATTATTTAATTTGAGAACTGGGATTTATTATCCATGTTTTCTGCTTTTCAGAGTACCCTCATAGACCGGTTTGGGAGGAAGGTGCTGCTTTGGGGAGGATACACACTGATGTGTTCTGTGCTAGCACTGCTCACCATGACCCTGTCCCTGCAGGTAAGGAGGCAGCAGCCTTCTGGCCCCTTATTCAGCACCAACCCACCTTTCCAGTCTTGTCTCACAGGATATGTACAAAAACCTGAGCCAGTGGCAGAAAATACAGAGCTCTGCCATTTTGTTGTGTGTCTAACCATTTCATCTCACTGGTTTCTCACCCTCAGCATCGGTTTTTCTGGATGCATTACTTCAGCGTTATCTTGATCTTCCTATTCGTTGTCTTCTATGGAAGTGGACCGTGTGAGTACAGCAATGGCTGTGTTGGGAGGAAATTTTGTATCAGCAACACAACTGGCAGAGAAAGAACAGACTAGTGCCATGGTCAAAAAGTTCTGGAGCTTAAGGAAGGAAGGACAGACATGTACAAGTGGGAGACAGGGAAAGGATATAGACACCTTGGATTTTATTGCTGATCACAAGATCTAAATAATTTAAAACACAGTATCATCTCCAGAGGGGTTGAGAATGAAATTTCAGAATGATTTTTAAAATGCTCAGCTAAAAACAGGAATCTAAGCATTGCAATGTATGTTACAGTACTCATCTTGCCTACATGTTATAGTAATCATCCTCATTAACCTAGCAAGTTAAGCTTATGCCTACCAAAATGCTTCAGATGGAACTGACTCCAGGAGCCAAAAGGGGAGCTGGTTTTATAAATCATTGCACCACTAATGACTACCAGTGCAATGTGGAACTGCACAGACCCACTGGTACCAGAAAAACAATTCCAGTACACATGAGAGAAACCTAAATTAACAGTTGCAGTCCCTCTCTGGAATCAAGGTCTTTCACCCTCATAGCAGTGGCCACCTACCAACAGGCCACCTATTCTACCTGTCTGTCATCTTCTGCTACGGCCATTGGGAGGAACTTCAACAGGAGCAAGGAAACAAATATGCCTGGTTTGTGTTTGGCTTTTCTTTTTCAGCTGGAGCCACTGTAGCTGTCATGGTTGAAATCTTCAGCCAGTCATACAGACCATCAGCCTTTCTGATTGTTGGCTGTATCAACTGGATGGGACTGTTCGTCCTTGGGATGATTTTTCCACTGCTTGTTGTAAGTGACTCTAAGTGGATCCCTCCTTCCAGGAGAATCCATTTCTGAATGCTGACAGGGAGCAAAATAACAGCAATAAATTGCAATGACATGCAAAGCTTAGAGCTCTGTCCAAATATCAAACCTGTTCAGGAACTCTCCAAGCCTGTCAGAGGAGCAGCAACAGGACTCAGGTCAAACACAGCCAGTGGAAACTCCTGGTTTGATACCTGTCCTGGATTCTGTACTGAGCACACTTTTGAATTTTAATTTCAAAGACACGGGCTTGCACTAAAAGGCAGGGAAATAGAAATGAGATTCTTATTTTCCTTACAGTGTCTCTCATTTCTGCTTGCAGGATAACCTTGGACCCTTCTGCTTCCTCATCTTTTTGGCAATTCTTGCTTTATCAGCAATTTTCATTTACCTGTATCTTCCTGAGACCAAGGGAAAGTCAATCGTGGAAATAAAAGCAGAGTTCAACAAACTAAACTTTGGGAAAAAAGAAACCTCCTTCACTGAAAATAACTTTCCTAAGGAACAGTTGGCTTGCACGAAGCTCTGAGGGTTCAGAGGAGAAATTTGCATCTCTTAGAAAAGACAGGAAACAATGTTGCAATAGAACTAAAAAGGAAACATTAAAACCAGACTGCAAGATCTTCTGTCTCATTTATTTTTTTCTTTTCCCTTTTCCTTTTCTTTTCCTTTTTTTTTTATAGCTATGAAACTCATTATTCTAGAGTTCTATTTCTGGATGATATCTAAACGTTTTTGCTGGAAATTTCCCCACTCAGTTTCAAGATATAAAGGTTTTGTTCACATTAAAACCCTTTTATGGTAGTACATCTTAAGAATTTTTAAAACATTTTGTTAACAGTCCACAGGGCCCAAAGAAGAACATACACACAGGCTCTGCTCAAAGTCCTGGACCCACAGCCCTGGGCCTCAGTTGGTGTCCCCTGTTCCCAGAGTCCTGCCCAGTGCCACAGATACCTGAGCAGTCTGTTATTGGCCTTTCCTAAAGGAGACCTCACTAGCAGGAAGTACCTCATAACCAGGAACCTGCTGGAAAACAGCTCAGAGAAGAGTATCAGAAATATGACAGACCAAGTAAAATAATTTAAAAGGACAAACCAAGAGAAAGAAGGATTAAGAAGGCTAAATTACCATCAGTCATGAGGATGGGGAAACACAGAAGTCTGAAGTACTTGGCTAGCAGGCAGACAGAAGAAAAGCTAGATATGGCATTTAGGGTGACCTGAGCAGATATGGACTAAAAACTTAGCACAGCAAATGAGGATAAAAGGTTCCAGCATGACAACAGAAACAAATATTGAAAGTGAAATTGTACTGTGCAACAAACCTTCTGGAGATGTAATGGAAAGCTCAGCGGAGAATATCCCAGTAACTCTAGGCAGGGAGAAGGACCTGCCAAACTGACGTATTATTGTATGCAAAATAAGCAAAATGGCTGCTACAAAGTAAAGTAAAGGACACTCCCAAGAGCATCTGTGGTGTCCAAGGAACTGATTTCCAACCTGGTACATCAGCTTCTGGGAATTACATCAGATGTTTTCAGAGAAGAAAGAGTTTGTTTTGGAAGTGTTTTTCTTGTTATGTAAGCAAGCTGCGAATAAGGAGTGATTATTGTACCCAGCAGTAAAAATAGGCTGTGAATTTCATTGGAAATAGCCTAAGTTTTTCCAAGTGACCACTAACAAGTATATTTGTGACAAGATTTGTGACTAAAAGCTTTGGGTCATGCCACCTGCTTTCCACTAACCACTGAAGAAAAAAAATAATCAATATTAAAAACTACAGTTCTTCTCCTTACAGATGGAGGTGTCACTTGAGTTTGTTTTTAATGCACTAACTTAGGAAATGTGCTCTGAAAAGGCCCTTTATAGAAACAGATTTTACTTCTGGTGTTTTTTGAGGGTCTTCATTATTTTCAGAATGCTTTGCATATAGGAGACACAATCCACTAACATGGGCTGTAGATGAACACTGACAGATAGTAATTCATCTCCCAACTTTTTATTTACTGACTTTTTTACACCAAGGGAGCTACAGTGAAGGAACTGACTTAAAACCAACATACACCACACAACCACAGAATCACAGAATGGCTTGGGTTGGAAGGGACCTTAAAGATCATCCAGTTCCAACCCCTCAGCCATGGGCAGGGATGTCACCCACTAGATTGGGTTGCTCAGGGCCCAGACCTGACCTTGAACAAGATCAGCTTAAGCATGTTCTTATAGAGGCTTTCACCATTTAAAAAGTGTTGGCTTAAATTACACCGTTAGAGTACAAACATTTAGTCCAAGCTAGGGAAAGATCTTCCTCTTTTCCACAGCCTGGGGAATCAAGTGAGTAGAAAAGCCCTTACCCCAGAAACTACTGGGCATAAAGACACTCATCACCTTTAACATGGAGAGATTAACAAACCATTTATTTTATTCCCATCAGCATTTTCAACCTGCTCTCCCCACACATCTCACTGCAAACACCCCCTACCCAGTGCCATATGATCCCTCAAAATCACTTCTCTCATGTAAGGCTCAATTAGGCAGCAATAAGAACTGATCCCAGCTCTGCCACATACTCCACTCTGGATAAAAGCCTCTCATGTCAGAATGCCTGTGGATTTCCTATCTCTCAAGAGTTATGACTGCTATGGGACTATTTGCACAACAAAGGAGCAAGTTGAAAACAAGCCTTTTCCAAGCGTGTAGAAACCAGTGCTCACCACAGTGGAAAATCAAGATCCTGATTTTAAGGCATCTTTGTCATGACTTAGTCATAGTTCAGGAAAGGTCTGCACAACATGTGCTACTGGGGTTTTTCTGTTATGGTCTATTCCACAGAAAGAGTTCCAGACCTCACAACTGAGTCATCCATCTCTTTTTTTTTTTTTAAATAATTATAAGACTTGCATAAGAGGTATATTACAACTCTCTGTACCACTCATTTTTTCACTGGTTTCACAGTCAGGTTGTATCCAAATATGAAGTATCATCTTGGCTGCTTTGGTTTCCAGAGTGCAAAAGCCAGGTTCCCTCCCAGGACAGTCCATTGGCAGTCTGTGTGAGCAGCCTGCAGATGGCACGTGCAGCCTTGCCTCTCCCCAGGCACTCCCACCCCTCCCGGTGCACCTGTGGAAAGTATCACTGACTATTTAAAGGCTCCTGAGGTGCTCACCAGCATAGTGGGGGGAGTCAGCTTGCAGGTGAGTTAGAAACAAAGCTGTGAAAGAAAACCTGCTTGTGATCCAAAGATGCCTAAATTCATTGTTAACACAAATATAAGCAAGGGTAAGATTCCAGAATCTTTTACAGGAGAGCTGATCCAACAGTTATCAAAAGCATTGGACAAACCAGCACAGGTAAGTCCAGATGCTCAAATGTTTTGCTTCTTTAGTCAGTTGTGCCTATGCAATGAGCCACTTCTCAGCGATAGCCTTGATAAACTAATGTGCCTAATGACTCACCAGTATTTGCAGTCCTCTCTCTGTGAAAATATCAAATACTTGTTTGCTGTAATTTGAAGTCTCAAAGCACTGAAGTATCTAAACAAGCTTTGTGTTGGATGATATTCACTATAGGTGTCTGTGTAGGTGAAGACACGGGATGTGTGTGGGTGTGTGCACAGGTATCTCTGAAGATATCTGGCTGATTGAAAGTGAAAGTCACCCTCAACTTCCTCACTGAGACCTGCTGAGTATGTGCTTGTTATCTGCCACCAAATTGCCTGTAGCCTGGTGGTTACAGTTGAATTAAAACATGAGTCACTCAGCTTGCTTGGACATCTAGCAAAAAACTAGTATTCTTATGTAAAACTGATGTGTTCTATCAATCTTAAAAAAAAAGCCAGTGTTTTTTATCAGTCTAGCAAACAAGTACTTGCTGATGGGGGCATGGGGGTGTGTCAGCTGGTGGTTCTTGCATAACAGCTCCTGAATATAAAGCTAGAGGCCAGGGCTGGGATGCAGCTGGAACAGGTTTGTGCAGCTGTGTGGAAAGGATATGTAACGGGACTTAGAAATATACAGGGAATAACAGAGATTTTTCTGAAGAGGACCTACAAGCTTTTCGTGACAAAGGAGGCAATAGGAAAGGGAGAGTCTCTTAGTTATAACACAGAAAGAAGGAAAGGATTAGGCTGGGCTGGAATGCAGAGCTTTCCTCTCACAGGAAACTGTACCACTTGAAAAACATACTGATTTTTAATCAAATAGGTTTTTTTCCTACTGGGTGAACTGTTTCAAATATTTTCAAACTGCTCTAATAAGAAAATAATGCCAATTAATGCTTTAGCTTGATTTTATTATTTTTTTAAATAATAATAACCTGCTTCCAGGGTAGATGTTAAAGACATACATGAACCTACATTTGGCATAAAGTTGAGACTGCGCAGTGTCCAGTCAGGGGAGAACAGGGCCAGGCAAGCGGTACCTCAGCATGATCTCCTTGGCTTATCCTGTACTGCTGTGGTCTGATGCACCTTGCACCCAAACAAGCTGTAAATGATGGCCAAGACTAATTACCCAGACAACTCCTGGTACTCAGGCTGGCTTGTTTTACCAAGAGGGTTAATTGCTGCTGAGTTCCAACGATGCGCTGCTAATAAACGTGGGTAAGAACAGAACAGAAGCTAGATGGATGCCAAAGGAATTGATCCCCAGATTCCCCAGTGTGTGGATCTGACACTGTGTATTAGCAGCAGGGAAAATCGCAGGCTGGTCATTAATATTAACATAGATACTTTCTTCTATTTTTCCTGATATCAAGAACAAAAGTAGGATTAGGCTGTATTTTGTTTAATGAGGGGGATGTTGATTTAGACCTCTGCTGTGTCAGTTCACATTTACCTCAGCAGGGAAGACTGCAGCAGGAGCCAGTGAGGTGCAAAATCTCTCTGGAACGCAGTGCGGCAGCAATGCAATCGCACCCCCCCCCCCATTCCTGACCTTCCCACACGGACAGGGAAGGCCCAGTGGCTCGGAAGAGGTTCTGGAGATATTGCATGTCTAGACCTGGACTAGGAACCAAGATTCCCAAGGCTAAATAGTATGGTGTCTTTGTAGCTTGACACAGCAGTGACTGCCTTGGAGTAGAATGCAAATCTAGACAGTAAGACGTCAACACATGAAAAGCATGCACCTATTTTCACTGCAGTTCAGGTACATAAATACCTTCCTGGATTTTTGAAACTTTTCTTAATATGGCAAAGGAAAATAATACTCCTTTTCTTCTTCCAACAGTATCTAGCAGTACAGATCTCTCCTGATCAGATGATGTCCTTCGGTGGCTCCACAGACCCTTGTGCTATATGCTTTCTCTACAGTATTGGTAAGATAAGGGAGCAGGAGAACAAGGTCTACTCCAAATTGCTTTGTGATCTGCTGAACAAAGAGCTGAAAATACCATCTGACCAGTGAGCCCACACAGCAACTTGTCTGACATGACTTTCCATAGATTGTTAAAACTATTCATCCCAGACTTTTCCTCTGGTGTTGTTAATGTGCTATTTGAAGAGGCTAAATGCCGAGTCAACTGGAACAACTCTCCAACTAAAAAGAAGAAAGGAGCAATTGCATGAGCCGCAATGCTCATGTCCAGCAACTGTAAAATTTCTTAGTTAAAATTATGTGG